TGTAGATGCATGTCTTTTTCTGTGAAAACCACACAGGTTTGCAGTGCTGGAGCCCTGGACCTAGGGCGCTGTCTGCGTGGAGTTTGTGTGTTCTCCCTGGGTTTGTGTGGGTTTCCTCTGTGTGCACTTTTACTGCCACAGTCGAAAAGGAAACTAGTAGGTTAATTGGCTTCTGGGAAAATGGTCTTTGGTGTGAGTGTGTGTCTGTGTGTCCTGCGATGGACAGGGTTCAGTTGCTTGCTGGGATAGACCTCTCCCCCCTGAGCCAGAACTGGAAGAAGCAGTGGGAAAAAGGACAGATGGATATTTGGTTACACTGAAGGAACACAACCAATTGGAACAGCTTCACAGCAGTTTTAGTTAATACATCCTTTTATACGAGTGATGCTGGTACTGTACCTTAATCATGTCACAGGACATACACTCTGTACAGGTCAATTTGAATAAAAGAAACTACGTTTTGAAAGCCACAATGCATCAAACATCCTGATAGAAAGATGAGACAGAAAAAAAACTTAGCAGGAGATTAATCTTTGCCAAGGTGAGAGAAAAACTGCTAGGGTACCCATTTCCTGATATTCTTGGTCAATATGGGAAAGGCACTAGAGTCTGCGATTTTCTGGTACTAGGATTCATTCTGCACCCCAGGTGGAAAATACTACTGGATGGGGCCCTCAAGAGCCATTTGTTAACATTTTTTTCTAATACAGAAATATCTTGACTACATTATTACTGCATTACAGGGCTGACTGGGGGAAATTTCAGGAAAACAGTAAGAGATCAACTCAACATGTACAGCTCCTTAAAATAATTTCAATTGCTTGAATTCACTGACATCCATCAAGAAGAAACAGCCAAGAGGAAAGATGTATGGAAACCTGTAAGGCACTGGACTGAACGAGCACAGAAGTGCAGATTACTGTATTCCATCCTGTATTCCCTCTAGAAGACTATTAAAGCAACAGTTTAATACCATAACCTACTATAAATATTCTCTTTCTCCCTGCTGTACAGAGCCCTTATAATAATACCTGTAGGTGTAAAGGCTTTTAACCACAAAATGATCACCTAGTCAAATAAGGGTTAAATTGGTAAATGTAGCATTCAATTTGCCTACAACATACACAGTATACATACCATTCTTCTGTATGACCCTTAACTCTTTGGCAAAAAAAGCAGAGCTACTAGTCTCATGTACTTCTCTGTGCTGTTTGTGCGTACTCCTGCCTGGCCTAGATATTGTGTTAATGCCTAATGCAGTAAGGGAGGGCTTGGTAAATATGAACAGGCTATGAACACATCATTAAAGCCAATTTTTCAAGCACTTGTTGTTCTGAACCACGTACAACCATGAAATCTTTCCCTGCTGCTTTTTGTCTTCAGTTCAGAGCAGTTGCTGAAATTGGTAGCATGTGTATTTTAAAGACATGGTAGTTTTGTACTATATTTGTGAGCACACAACTATTTTAAAACCAAATGCTTCACCTGGGGAAACCAATGAAAGGCCAAGGTGTCTTCTCTCTTCCTGGAGTGTCCCTGAGTGATATTTAACCCAGCTTGAACCCTTTCCTCCGGGACCTTCTGTGCAGATGAGTCAGGAAAAAAACACCTTCAAAAATGCTTAATTATCTGAAAATAGACTCGTTTCAGTTGAAACCTTAATCCAAGATTTGAAAATCGAAGCTAGAACTGATTCATCAGAATACATTTTTTCAGGAGTCAAGAGTATAAGTGAAATTACTTGCACTATAAACTGAAATCAAGCGTGTGTACAGATCCCAGCAGAAAAAAATAATAAAAAAACAACTTTACCTGGAAAGAGTATTGTATTCTGCACAGTGCCCTGTTGTCAGGTTGCAAACCTCTTCTTAATTTCTAACAAAAAGCAGAAACCTCCCCAATTAATCACTCCTAACACCCAGTGAACTAGCTTTTCAATAAATGGAATTAACCAATTGCTTTGTGCAGCTCATCAGTTTATGCAGTGCTTAGTACCTATCATTCAGAAATCCTTCAAAACCATAGTTTTACCTTAGCAATACACTCCCCACTCGATAATGTAAGAGTTTGCTTTCTTTGCAAGGGCTGCTGTGGCTCTAAACTCACTTGAGACCTTTAGCAACGCCCCCTCATGCACATCTCCAGAAACCCTCAAACACGAAGACCACGGGTTGGACCTAGAGGTCTGCACGGGCATGAAACTGGAGCCCGTACCCGAGACCCTGAGACCCGACTGAGCCCGAATGGTACTGTCAAATTTGAAACCCAAATCCAACCACGAACCCGGTCACTCTCTTTTCCTCTCGGAGCAGGTATACACACACGTGCACACACAGAGATGGTTTCTGACAGACGCGGTTTTACAATGTTTCTCTCGGCTGCTATGCGCTTGGTGTCGATAAGACAGAAAATGCCGGGCACTGAGAAAAACTGGTACTCAGGTCGTAATGCTGCCATAACGAAGCCGTCCCTGACTCATTTGGCATTTTGAGTAGTTCTCCCTTTGTCAATTTTTGTTTTATTTCATCCATAGCGAACAGTTAATCTGTTACACACATACGAGAGAGAGAACAAGCAGGCACGCAAAATGTGTTCCGAATTTCTTCTAATAAAAAATAAATCTGATACATAAAATAAAAGGAATTCATTTTCACTTATTAGAAAAACCCGAACCCGCCCCGAGCCCGAAGTTGTACGTGCAAAAACCCACCCGAACCTGGCCCGGTTGATACTTTATCGAGCCCCGTCGGGCTCGGGTCGGGTAGCAGACCTTCAGTCGGATCTCCAACTGCACTTTAATTGCGTGAGTCGCCCAGTCGTATTAAAAACTTTATTCCTTGTAAATCAGAAGATCTGGACATTCCAATAAAAAGGACGCAGTACAGAAAGCAGTTCTTGTTGATCCCGAACCGAGAGCAGAAATAAAACGGCGCAGCAGGAGAGGGAGGAGGCTGCCCTGGACTTGAAGGCAGCGGGGGAGCAGGCCGAGGTCTAGGGAGGCATCGGTCCTCTCATGGGGCCCCTGGGCGGGGCGGGCGGCCGGTTGTTGGGGCGCGGGGGCATGTGGGGGCCTCTCTGGAAGCCGAAGGGAGGGGGCCGGGGGGGCCCGCTGCCGTAGCCGGGGGGGGGCATGGGAGGCGGGGGTCCCCTCATCCCTGGGGGGTGCATGGGCCCCGGATGTCCTGCGAGGGAGAAGACAAGACGCGCGGCGGTCAGCACAGACTCGGGAAACGGCTGGCAAGGGCTTCAGGCGTCCTGGCCCTGTTTCTCTGGCGTCTCCCGCTGTAATGCTTCCACCTGCAAATATCCCAAGTCAACTGTCTGGCTGCAGTCGGGGGTCTGAAATCCACCGCCTGTCTATGAGGTCCCCTTCTCACTGCCTCATTTCAGCCCCGTTTCTCTACTCTCTGCCCTGCTGTCCTGCTGTCCTTGAGCACTGGAGTGGTACCAATAGCCTTAAAAACAGCTGCTGCTACCCCCGAGACAAAAAAACAAATATGGCTCCGGACAACCTAAAAAACTGTCGCCCTATCTCCAACCTGTATCGTGCTGTTACAATTTCTTCAATAACCATCCCATTGAAAATGTCATCTTCGAACCCTTGCGATCTGGATTCAGACCGTTACTGCGGCAGGGCAGAAGTCAATAAGGATCTTCTACTGGCTTCTGATTCCGGTTCTCTATCTATCCTTATTCTGCAAGACCTCAGTGCTGCTTTTGACACTGTTGACCGTTAACCTTCGCACTGTGAGACTGTGTTTGGAGTTTCTGACATTGTTCTTAACTGGTTCAACTCTAACCTCACTGAGTGCCATCACTTTGTCTCTCTTGGAGCTTTAAGATATGTAGTTGGGTTCACTAAGTCTGGATGAGCTTCTTCATTGAGTTCCTCAGGGCTCGATACTGGCCCCCTACTATTCAGCATTTATATCTTCCCACCTGGTCAGCTATTAGGATGACATGGTCTAAATGATCATTTCTGTGCTGATAATACTAAAATCTACATCCACACTAAACCTGACACCGACGTTGCTGTCTCTGTACTCTCTAAGTGCGTCCCTGACATAAGAACTTGAATGACTCAAAATTTCCTCCAATTAAACTGCCTCTCAGCACCTCCCATCGACCATGTAAAGCCAATTAAGTAACAGTATGTCCAGAATTCGGCAGCCAGAATCCTGTCCAGGTCTAGTGCAAGTGATCACATTACTCCTATCCTGGAGTCCTTGTACTGGCTTCCTGTCAGGTTTTGTGTCGACTTCAAAATCTTCATGGTCACCTACAGTATAAGGCTCTGTATGGCTTGGCACCTCAGTACCTGTCTGAGCTACTATCGTCCTACACCCCACCTCACAGCCTTCGCTCTTCTATCTCTGGTCTCTTATCTGTCCCCCAAGCCCCTCTACACTCTGTGGGTGGACAGGGCCTTCTCCTGTTATGCTCCAAAGCTCTGCAACTCTATCCCCAAGGATATCAGAGAGTCGCCTTCCCTGAGCTCCTTCAGATTAAGACTCAAAACCTTCTTCTCCAGAAGGGCTTTTATTTAACTGGCTCTGTGTCTGCTGCCCCTTTGCTTTCCTACTGTATTCCAAATCCTCACTGTAACTGTGCAATTCTGTTCCTACTCTCATTGTGTGCTTGTTTTTCGTGCTGTAAAGTGCTTTGAGAAGCCATTTTATAGGCACTTAATATAAAATTTATCATTTGGCGCACAAAGCCAAGGAGCAAAGTGTCATGCAAGGAAATTACTGAATGGAACAAAGAATGAATCAGAGCAAAACCAACACTCTATACTGACTTCACCGCACTTGATCGCAGGTCTACGTTAAGCCCATAATTCGGTCTTTTTCTAGAACAGCCTGGCATGATCATCATTTTCACTGGAGCTTACCTTAGTCTCTTCGGGTTTGCGACTAAACTGGAGAACAGTCAGGCCATTTAGAATAAATCCTGAATCCTGGAAGTCTCAGTTCAATATGGCATTCTGACGTTGCTCCGACACCAGGGGGCGCCACTTACCCATGGGTGGGCCGAAGGGTCCGCGATGGGGCATGCCCATGTGAGGGTGTCCGTGGTGCGGCATGCCAGGCGGGGGCGGTGGCCGTGGGTGTCCCTGTCCTCCGGTGCCCGGCGGGCCAGGAGGAGGCGGGACCATGCCAGGGGGTCCAGGCGGGGGCATTGGCATCTGGGGCATCCCTGAATCCCAAAACAGAGAGGAACACGGCTACAGACCAGCTCACAGACTTGCGGGAATCACAGCGTACTGTGCGCTCGCTGGCGTCAGTCAAGACTGGGCCCATCAGTTCCCCACAGCGTCAGTGTCTCTGCCTCCACAGCGGGTGCCCATCACTGCTCACACAATTCACCGCCTGTCTGGACTATAAGATGGCTTGGATCAAGGTGGAAGATAAATTATAATAATGATTAAGTCAGCTGTGAGAGAAACGACACTGCGGCCTGCGAGTCTGCTTTCTGATTCATATTCTTCACACTGAAAAATGCATAAGCTGAAAAGGAAGCAACAGACTCAATTTGTAATTCCGTTTTAGACAGATTGCTTTCCAATTTAGTTGAGGTTTCCATTGTTCAGATCAGGTTCAAGAGTACAGGCGCAAACCCCATTTCTGACTGCCAGGAAAACTGCGGTGTGCTAACATCGGTTAATATTTGCTACACTAGAGCAGCAGATCCTACTCAACTTCAATATTATAAAATACAGTATCTGTGTGGTGCCAATAGTGGGGTTCACCCACTTCAGAGAAATGCTTGACAATTGTTTTAAAAGCGACAGGATTGGTCCACCCAGACACTAAATTGATCAGCACATAAGTAAGTGCAACCAAAATGCTGCTGTTTACTGCAATCCGATTATTAGATCTAATTAAACTGGTCTCAGGAAATTGGTCTCATTTTCTCAGAATCATTTTAAATCCTGAAGGTATAAATAATGGTTTCAAATCAAATTCATGACCAGAATGGAGGGAAACGTGCTTTTAAACAAGCCTATTATTTCCCATGCTTGCCAGTCACCGTGTTATTTGCATCATAATAAAATCCAGTTCAACGGCACGAACAGCCACCTTCTCTGCACTCCGCTACAATGCTTTCAAACGGGTCAGCTGTGTTGTGAAGTAAAACACGGAAATAAATGTGCCATTTATGTTATGTAACGCCAGCCTTGTTCTACTCGAATTCCCACACTGCAAAACACAATTCGTCTTTTCAAAATCAAGCTGTAAAACTGCTTCTAAATGTTGCCATGTATTTTAATAACCCTGTATCGCTGACTACCGACAGCCCAAGTTTTAAAAACGCATGATAAAAAACAATTGTCAGAAATTGCCCACGAAGTCACTATCCTATACTAAATAACCAGCAACCTGGTTTTTATTAAAAACGGGTGACGTCTTCAATAGGAACGGAAACCCAATGGCATGAAATAAACAATGCCGATCTACCTGTAGAAGATGCAATTTTGTGTCTCCGTTTCCAAAAAGTATTTTCCCAATGACATAAAACACATTTAAGATTTTCATAGAACTGCACTGTGATTGCTTGCATCTCTACAGGGAGATACAGAAAACCCGCCAGATTTCAGACCCCAAACTGTGGAGTTGGGAACTGCTGACTTATACCTTTTGTCAGTATTTTAACTGGACATTCACACTTTCCAGGCATGCTGTATCGACTTAGATCCAGTCTGTATTTGATCAATCACACTCGCTTTACCAAAGGTTTTCTAATCATGAACGTGGCAGATCGTTCCAGGTAACCTTGACAAACCTAGAGCACTAAACCAAGGCGTGCCCAATATGAAATGTCCAAAAAGACATTTGGACAAGGGGCTCAACTGGAAGTCCACTAGGACTATCCTAACATTTCAGGAACCCCTGGCAATAAAGTTAAAAACGAGAATGAATGAGACACACTGCAGTGTGGGACACACACCCAGTGTATGCAAAGAGTGAATGAATGATCTGGAATGGAACAAGTAAAGGTTTATTCCCTGCTGGAAAGAGAAGAAACAACGTTTTCGGCTGGGAGAAGACGTGTCACGTCTGAAGGAGGCCCCACAGCAGAAACGTTGTTTCTTTTCTTCTCTTTCCAGCAGGGAATAAACCTTTACTTGTTCCTTTGCAGCCTACGTGTGCTGACGCAGCCCCCTACTTCAGCTATCGGGAACTCCTTCTTCACAGCTGAATGATGGTTCTCTGTGCAGGGAGCCTGCTCACTGGGCTGGCACAGAACCAGGACTGATGCCACCGGCCGCTGCGGCACACCTCCCTCCACCCGGACAGGGCTCCCGAGCGCGCACGCCTGCCCCGTTCGCCTCGTCCGCAGGTCACAGGAGAAACCCCCCGCACCCCGACTCACCTGGAGGGGGAATGGCCCCGGGCGGGAAGGGCGGGGGTCCGGGAGGGGGTCCCGATCCTGGGGCGCCTCCTGTCGGGGGTCCCGGTGTTCCTGAGGATGGGGGCATCGGAGGCGGGGGAAGGCCAGGAGGCATTCCGGGGGGCATGGAGCCGGGGGGCGGCACTGGAGGTGGAAAGGCGCCTGGGGGGGGGATCCCTGCAAAACAGGCAGAGAGAGTGGTGAGGAGGAGGAGGGGGGGGGGGACACACAGCTCCTGCAGGACCACCGGAGACCAGAGCTCCCGCCTGGACAGCAACACTGAGAGGGCAGGAGCAGGAGAGAAACAGACCTGAAGCATCCAATTTCAACGGCAGACATAAAACATTTGTGAGAATGCCAAAAAAAATCGAAACGATCCGACGCAAAAAAACAACAACATGCAAAAAATACATTAGAGAGTCAGCTTGAGCCAGACGTGAGCAGGGGGACACAGGGGACAGCATACAGCACCACGGAGACGCAGATGAACAGAAAAACTTCACCAAGTGGAATGCTACAGGACCCTAAAAAGAGGGTTAACATTCACACAGGTTAGGTGTTTAAAACCCTCGCAGGAGCTGAAATTTGCGATTAACCCCCCCCGAGGCTTATAATTAATCCCCTTACTGAGTTTTCCCATAAGGTTTCAACTAAATAAGAGGGCAAATGCCATAAAACGTATATGTCACGCTTCCAAAAAACGACGTTTCACACTGATCAGAAATCCAATGAGAACGAACAGTTAAACTCCCAGAAGCACTGTTCCGCCCACACCATCAAGCCGACAGGGGAGGGGATATGTTCTGATCCCATGGCCACAGAGGCGAAGAAAACCGACAATGAGCAGGGCTGGACACAGGCCGGAACACGTCTACAATTCAGACGAAACTGGCTTATTCTTTAAGCAAATGCCCCCAGGATTTCATGCGGTGATGGACTGAGTGGTGCTGCTTCTGTGGAGTCATTTGTCACAGATAAATCCAGGCACGCTGCACTAGTCTGCAGACCCCAGGCCATCACACAGCAAGAACAAGAACCACTTCATTAAGTCACATAAGAAGGCCTGGGACACAACGCACATCCTTCTAGGCTGGTCTCAGAAGACTTTGGACCTATGGGCAGATGGTAGGATGAGGCTCGCTGGCTAGCGTGGAGACTCCGGCTTCACCCGGCACATGAGATTTAAAGTTCGCCTCGCTGCTCCAGCGAACAAAACTGATTTTTCCACTTTGCGACCCAACCTTACCCTGGAAATCCAAATTCACGAATAACTGAACCCCAGGAATGTTGAAACCTAACAGTACACACTGAGTATCGGACAGGGCGAGAGACAAGGGGACACAGCCTAGGACAGGCTGTGCTCCCAGTGCCAGCGGGGAGTAACAGAGACAGAGGTGCACTTCCTACTGAGAGAAATACTCTGGGATTAGACAAACATTCTTCCTTCAGATATCAAACCTAATACCAGAATCCCTGCACCTGCTAGAATCGGAACAGCCTGTAGTCCTACTGGGGGAGGAAACCCTACAGAGCTGGAAGACCAGTATGTGATCTCCTGTCACAGCCTGAGGAACAGGCGGTGAGCCTTTTTATATGATGTAAATGCCAAGTGTATCAGCTCTGGCAACAGTGCAATCCATGGTCATGTCATTAAAGCCCTTTGAGAAGAGTAAAACAAGAAGAGAGACGACAACAGAATGAGACAGGACAGAATGGCAACACTGTCATCCTTGGAGCATTTCAAGATGTAAACGTGACACTTCCTCTACAAGACCACAAGATCCGACTGTGGAAGCCCACCGGCACTGACCTGGGTGGTGGACGCCGGGCCCCAGGGCGGTGAGGACCGGCGTGGGGGCGGAGGGGGGCGGGGGCGCGTCGGCGAAGAGCTGGTGGGGCCGGTCGGCCTGGGAGAGGGGGTTCTGGGCAGCCAGGAGGCGCTCGGCGGCCGAGCCGTGCCGCTCGCCCTTGGAGTCCTTCTTGAAGGCGTAGGAGACGGTGATGGGCCGGTTGCAGAGGTACTGGCCGTTCATGGCCTCGATGGCGGCGTCGGAGGCGTCGAAGCTGGCGAAGTTGATGAAGGCGTAGCCCTTGGAGTTGCCCGTGTCCGGGTCGCGCATGATCTTGGGCGTCTGGAGGATGACCCCGAAGGCGCTGAAGGTGTCGTACAAGAGCTTCTCGTCTATCTCGGGGTCCAGGTTGCCGATGAAGATGTTGGCACCCACGTCCAGGTTCTTGTTGTGCGCGGAGGCCTTGTTGACGCGGATGGGCTTCCCGTACAGCTTGATCATGTTCATGATCTTGATGGCGTAGTCCGCATCCTCCTCGCTGAGGAACTCCACGAAGCCGTAGCCTTGGGAGAGGGGGACAGGTGGTTTTCAAGGGCTGGACAGCTCAGCCTTTGTACAGATCTTCTCTGGCAAGGACTTAAAACTGCAAATTCCTAACAATGGCAGGACGGGTGGATTACTGTTAGTTCTCAGTGCTGTTCTAGGATGAGCTCTGTATGTTTGGATCATAGCTGTAAGGTACCCCAGCGTGTGTCAGTGACCTCTAGGCAGCTAGAATAATGTACTCTAAGATCACCGATCAGCTGCGAAGTAAAACGATCTGAAATAAGGGTTTATTACTGAAAATGAGCACACAACCGGCAGAGATGTTTAAACCTATGAAAGCAGATATGGGATTTTTGCAGACTGAAGACAGCTTACGTCTTAGTTCAGGTGGGGAGCTGCTTCAGCATGCGCAGGCTGCAAAGGAACAAGTAATAGGTTGATTCCCTGCTGAAAAGAGAAGAAAGAAAACACAACGTTTCAGCCGAAACATTGTGTTTTCTTTTCAGCATGAAATAAACCTATTACTTGTTCCTTTGCAGCCTACGTCTTAGCCATTTTATGCACTGGTCTACAAAAACATCTGCAACAGAAGAACACCTACTACGAAATCATGCTAATGTTAACTGGAGGTTGTCACAAGTTACTGTGTACTTTTACGGTGGTTTGAAATGCCGTCATCAATGAGGATTCTTTCTAACCCCCAAATATAAAAATAGCACTGCCGTTCCCCTTTAAAGCATCTGACACACCTGTGCGAAGGACCAATATATTTTAGGGCTTTCGCCCAGAAATCGTAAGTGAAAAGGCTGTCACGGGTGTGTCCGTGGGGGGGGACAGGTCTGGCAGTGGGGGCGTGTGGCCTGGTCACGCTCTCACTGGGCACAGCATCTACATCCTGGCCCTCTCCACACTCTGGGCCCTGGGGGGCTCCCACTCCCCCTCTCTCCTAGCTCACCCTGGTGCTGTCCGGTCACTCTGTCCTTGGGCATGTGGGTGTTGACCACCGGCCCGGCCTGCAGGAACAGCTCCCACAGCAAGGGCTCGGACACCTTCTCGTCCAGACCTCCCACGTACACTGTGGCATCTGGGGAGAGGAGATAAAAGAGAGATCCAGTTTTCACTAACAACATCTTGCCCAAAGATGATAAAGCCACCCACTCACTGATGGACAGAATGGAAGGAGATGAGAAGACCAAATTATTACACGTTTAACATATACAAGTACGCCTGTGCTGTATAACACTGCTTGTAACCAAGGTGTGGAACAGAAACTCTATGGCAATAGAGGTATACGTGTCACGTAATGGTGTACAGGTTATATGGAGGAAATACTTAAATAATCAAATATGAATACCTAGACTGAAAAAGCACCAAAATGATTTCATAATATGTCACAAGAGACCTCTACTGTTTTGAATATCACACTCAGCTGATGTTTATCTAACAAGCAAGTCAACAACAGAATCTATTTAGATCTATCAAAGTTTTGTTTGGTTGAATAATTTGAATTTCAATCAATACCACTGTCTTGTTTTCTGCTGTTTACACATGTGAACTGAAGTGTAGAAAGACAATGCACTCGTCCTCACTGAAAGAGAGGCGCCATTTATATTCAAATGTCTTTCTCTAGAAACAGTTCTTTGGGACTGGGGGGAGGTCATGTGATTTGACTGGTTTTGTAGGGGTTACAGTGTGGAGGTGAGTTAGCGTGCAGCCTGTGAAAAGACCCAGGAGGAATGCTGACTGATAGCTCTGTGTAACATAGAAGGAGAAATTGAATAGAAAGAGATTGTTGCCAGGCACTCCAAATCTCAGATGAGTTCTTCTTTCCAAAGCTCTCTTCTAAAATGGTGCAAACAGAGCAGGAAGTTGAAAAAGGACAATCTTACTACATGCTCAGGAAAGAGAAGCTCTGCTGCGCTTTCAGCTTCTTTCAATTCATACATCTTTTTTTATCAGTGACAATCATGATGTCTGAATACCTCACTAGGTATTTTTAGCAAATGGCTGATCAGGTCCCCAGCACTAAGAATTTTTACACTGTGTGGCAGTACCAATATTTCGAGGATAATCAGCTACTGCTCATATTTATGGAGCAGTTCAGGTGGGGAGCTGCGTCGTCATGCATAGGCTACAAAGGAACAAGTTTAAGGTTTATTCCCTGCTGAAAAGAGGAGAAAGAAAACAACGTTTCGGCAATGGAGCCTTCTTCAGGTGTGAGAATATTTATGGAATTACATTTGTACAGCTGGATCAATATGTATGTACAGACACAATATGTACAGCTACAGACTGTATGACCCTCTACCATCTGGAAAACGGTCCCGGAGCATTCGGGCCCGGACTTCCAGACTCAGAGACAGTTTTGACCCCCACACTATCAAACTGTTAAACTCCCAGCCTCTCTCACCTACGATCTGAACCTCACAGTGCCTTCTTTCTTACCAAAGACTCAAACACACACTGAAATCTACCTCTACCTCACAGGTCAAAAAGCTCACTCCCCATAATTTCTATCCCTTTATTTCATTCTGTTGATGCATGTTTTTGCACATCTGATGTTGTTTTTGCACATTACCTGTTACCTTTTTGTTGTTTTGCACACTGCCTGTTGTCTCTGTCTTTCTTTTGTTATACAATTGTATTGTTGTTGTTGTTGTTTTTCTTTGCACTACTTATCGTCCGAGAGCTAGCTAAATAGCATTTCGTTATACCATATACCTGTATATGAGTATAATGACAATAAACTTGAACTTGACTTGATGCATCACTAACACTTTAAATACAGACGTGTATAAAAATGTAATGTGCAGCACCTGTACAATAAAAAAGTATACAGGTCTAACATCTAAGGTGCAATGTATTCCATACTATGTAGAAAGAATGAAAAGGGGGCAGAGACACATTTTATCACAAATAGCCTTGAATTAAAGCCTCAAATATAACAACATGCTGATCCGACCACCCATGTCCCCATTTTAATAGATATAAGTGCATTAAAAAGTATGTCAGCATTTTTAAAGGTGAAAATTGAAAATAACATAAGCAAAAGCCTTTAAGGTGAAATGGAGAGTAATGTTAACCTTGAACGCCATGGGGCTACAGGGTTTCCAGTAGGTTTATATGCAGCGCGTGATATGAAACGTCAAACAGGTGCTAATGTGATGCTTGTGAAAACAATTTTACATGACAAGTGCTATCCGGGTTACACAGATTCGACTCTGGGGAGCAAAGCAAAGAGCGAAACTTTAAAAGATATTTGCCTTGAGCAAAAAACATTCATGTCTAAAGTAAGCAGATCCAAGGGGAGAATGGGATAGTTTAATTCACAGCAGATCTCACTCAGGTACTCCCCAAGGAAGCAATAAGCAGCAGGTCCCAGGCTCAGGAATTTAAAAGGACTGGCTCAAGTCTGATGTTAATTACTATTAGCAAAGAAGAGCTTTGAGTGCTGAAGGTACTATGTACTATCTTCGGGGTGTCACAGAGACAGGTGTTATACTATTAACAAGTCTCTTCGCCAGGCACTCCAAGAAGGGATGACACCCAAATTAACGGAAACAAAATCAACTGTCTATGTCGTATCATCTATAAAAGGGTGACAAAACCAAAAATATAACAGTTCAATCCTTCTTCTTTCTATTACAAGCACTGTAAGGGTATTGAAACAACAGTTAAAGTACTTTTCTATCTAGATATAATCTATATGGAAAAGGGATCCCTGTGGATAATCAGCATGGATTTTAAACAGGTAGGTCACGCTTAACTATCTTGAATAAGGTAGGACTTCACAGGTCCTAGAATAAGTAACAGCCGTAACAGACACACAGAAAGACATTTGAATCGTTTCAGATGGGTTTTGATAAAGCTCTTCATAAAAGATTAATTCTCAAATTTCAAGCGGTGAGATTCAAAGGAAATGCACAGACCTGGACTCAGAACTGGTCAATGGATGGGAAACAGCAAACAGCAGAGGCCCACATAAGGAATGACTGCCCCAACTGGAGAGACGTAATGAGTGGGGTACCACCAGGATCTGTATTAGGACCACTCTTCTGCTTTGTATATCAATGATTGAGAGCAGGGGGTGGAAGTGCATTATATAATGGGGAAGGGGCACTTTTTGAGAGTGGAGTTACTTAGCCTACACCACAGTGTCTTTCGAGAAACAGCTGGATGAGACCTCCAGATCAAATATGACAAACCAAAGACAGGAGGGGTCGAAAAACCCTTGTGGGAGTGGAAATGGGTTTTAAAACCCAGTTCAAAACAAAATATTTTTTGGCCGCCACCACTTAGATCGACTGTGGTCTCCCACGTCCCGGGAAAGGAGACACTGCAAGAAGCAGGAGCCGCTGTTTCATCCGCAGCTGGAATACAAGACCAACACACGGCGACCACCGTGCGTTTCTCCTTTCAACACGAGCTCTTAGACGCAGTTCATTTAAAACTACCGCCCAACCCTTTTGGATATTGGACCTGCGCTACAAGAACATACTGGGTCCCCCAAAACGAACTTGATCCACCGAGACGGAACAGTGCTCTCACGACCCAAAATGACGGGGAGAAAAAATATGTTGTCCAGGGAGGACTTGGGTTATGTATTCAAGAGGCGGTGTTGGTTGAGACTTTCATTTCGGGGATTTTGCAATTCAAAACTCTCGCTGTGACAACTTCCCACGTTCATACAGCCAGATTAGCGAGAGGACTCGAATAACTAACAGACAGAGCGGGAAACCAGACCAGGACAGCAGATCAGATCTGACTACAGGAAGGGGAACACTGCGGGCATCTTCTCCTCCTCTCAACACGAGACACCTTTTAACGCTCCCAAGAAAACAGTCGCAGACTTTTCGCCCGTTAGCAGATAAAACGCCTTCTTCCCCCTCTTTAAGCGCCTAACCACAGCGAAAGGAACACTGTAAACAACATTTCTCGCCAGAACGTCTCCACGCCAAAAATACAGAAATGGGACAACCAGGATTTTAAAATAGATGATCTCAGAGAAAGTATTACCTCCCTCTTAAAAAGCCTCCAATCTGCAATCAAGCAATGCATATCCGTGATCCAAAATGTGTTCAATATGATGCTCACTGGATGATGAGAAGTATAATAATTTCTCATTACTACACGATTACAACATTAGACAGGATATCAAACTTTTTAATCCTATAATTCATTGTTCCATTTTAAAACCGAATGGCATGCACACGAAGGACTCCAGCTGGACCGACAACACATCGCCCTTCAACCCTAGTTTCACACAACTCTATTTCCTTTGCTACCTTCTGTTACACTCGCATCCCTTCACCTCCGAGTTACAACATCGTTGAAGGAGTTTCACAGTTTTACCTTGATTTCTTTCAGAGATCGGTCCCGCCGCCATATCGAAGCTTGCGTGCTTGCACGCATCCGACGGAAGTATCCCCCCTTCTCGCCAGGCCAGCACTTCCGCAAAGCGCCGTCACGCCGTCTCTCTTAGCGCCATCTAGCGTTCGGAGGAACGAAGGAAAAGTTTGTTAACAGGGAGGCGAATTAAAATCCTGTAATTTATTTCTGTAAACCTCAAATTGACCCATCCGCGTTCTGTCTGGATCAGTAAAAAGACGTGCAAAATTTGCAAACAAAATCCGGTACTAAACGGGTTGCTTTATTTTCATTCCTATTTCTCACAGTTCGTTAGTGTATTAAATAAATACGGAGATAGAAAACCGGTTTGTGAGGTACGCAATATTTGTGATACACAACCACAGATGTTTATCCAAAGGAAGGGCATGTAGACATTGAGGGTTTTTTGGATTTGTGACATTGCGCGTTGTAAGTTCTCCTATGTGTCTCTAATCAATCTCCCCCCAAAGTATTTTTGGTCTAGTATGCTTGAGATAAATGTATTTATCTTCGAAATGTACAATAAAAGTATATGCCAATCATTTAAAAATTATTACAAGCACCTGCTTCTTTGGTTAAAGAAAGCTAAACCATGCTGATATGCTGACTATTCTCATGCAGGTTTTCATCTTTGCTGTGTGCCCTGTCTTGCTCACACCAGAAGAAGGCTTCACAGCCTAAACATAGTGTTTTCTCTTTTCAGTATGGAATAAACCTCTTACTTGTTCCTTTGTACACCATGCTGGTGATCCCTGTTAAGCACGATCCGACCTTCAGTGGCTGCTAATGTCGTGAGTTTATATATTCAAAAGACAGAATGAGTTGTTAGTTCAATTTTCTCCGTGCTGTGAAACTGCAAGAGCTGATTATAATACTGAACAGGGTAATGTGGCAACATTCTGTGCCAGCAGAGTCCCACTACACAACGAGTGGAGAAGCAAGAAAACGGCTTCACAAATTCGATACGCAGGGAAATTTACGTAGGTAACATTGTTGAAGCCCAGAGTGGGCTTTGGACAGGACATGGTGTTGACAGCCCTACTCTTTTGAAAAGTGCCACAGGATCGTTAATGATCAAGCAGTCAAGACCCCAGCTTAACTCTTATCTGAAGGACGACACCTCCTGCAAGCACAGACCCCTGGTCATTTTACTGCTGCAGGGGTTGGACATTCTCCACCAGAGGAAAGTGCGCCACCTACTGGTTCCAGAGCGCTTTCCAGTGAAGTGTTATTCTTGTATTTGAGAGTTACACAGTTACAGCTTACTTGATTTATTTTCAAGAGATGTTCGTTTTCTTGTTCAGTTCATACCAAGGCATGAAACAATTTACCCTTGGCGAGCTTCAGCACTCCCGTGAGTTGTGCTGAAGTAAACAGGTAATTTCATGTGAACATCCCCAGGTCCATCTCATCTCATCTCATATTGCTGAAGCTGAGTCTGTGGGACCTTTCAAGATGCCGTTGGATGAGATCTGTGGATCAGTTAGCTATTGGCAGCCTTGTGATCACGGTGGTTCCAAAGTTTCCTTTTTTGTAACGTTACCTCTTTGTGTTGCATTCAGACACAGGGCGAGGTACCAAAAAATGCCCAGCTCATTTAATGTGTACAGATGTAAGTTGCTTTGGATCAAAGCATTAGCTGAATGAATTCATGTTAATACTCATGTTAGTGTTTGTAGGTAACCTGCAGTGGGACTAAGGAGGCTGCTGTTCTTTGGCAGCATGGTGGTGCACTGGTTAGCATTGCTGCCTTGTAGCTCTGTGGCCCAGGGTTCAATTCCAGGCCTGGTGTGCTGTCTGTGTGGAGTTTGTATGTTCTTTCTATATTTGCATGGGTTTCCTCTGGGTGCTCTGGTATCCTCACAGTCCAGAAAATAGAGTGGAGGTTTCTCTTGATTCTAGTGTCTCTAAAACCTGTGTCCTGTATTGTGCTTTCACCATGTTCTGATTAAACTACACATTTGATGTATTCTCAGATAGCTTGCCATGAAACTTTATTGGCCATATACAATTTCTTTTAGTAGGAATTTGTCTTTTCGCAGACCCCAGCTTGCTCTCCATGGGCCACACATGGGGGGAGAGAAGCTGGGGGTCAGAGTGCAGGGTCAGCCATTTATACAGCGCCCCTGGAGCAGTTGGGGTTAAGGAACTTGCTCAGGGGCCCAACAGAGTAGGATTCCTCTGTCAGCCACGGGATATGAACCAGCAACCTCCCAGCCACAGGTGCAGATCCTAATCCACAGAGACACCACACTGCAATAATGAATAAATACATACATTTGGATAAAAACTCTAAGGTAGTTAATACAGCACAGTATAACAACCTATAACAGGGAGAAACAAAAAAAATGCTTTGATAATAACAGTCCAGTGGAGAAACAATTTTGTGGCACAATGCGTTTTTTCTAAGATGTGTTATTTTAACATAACCTTTTGTCAACAAACATTAGTGCTGCTTTTGTTTGACTTTAAAGCTTATTTGTCTCCTGCTCTAAACACCTTATCGTCATAGAAGCTTAACAAGTTTAAGGCGTATCTGGGCTCCAAAGCAGACAAAGGCGACTTCTATTTAAGGAGCCAAAAATGGCTTCCAGGCGTTCCAAGCATAACCTGTCTGTGGGTGTACTGGCCTGACTGGATTCCAGCAGAGCAGCTCCTGGCAACCAGTCCTGCATCTGCTGGCCATGACCGGTCAGAACCACGGATAAATCAGAAATTGAGGAGACAAAAAAACGAAAGCAAATGTATTTGCGCAAAAATGGAATGCGCTCTAACCCTAACTAGGGCTCATAGTGTCCTTATTTGCCGAAGACTCAAAGATCAGTCACCTGCTTTAGTTTTGGGGCTTCGTGTTTAGAGTACTGTTAAGGTTAGGCTTGTGAAGGTGTGTGAGGCAGTGGCAAAATCGTAAAACCTGTCCCAAGTGCTGTGTTTAAGCTTGAGCGTAGCCCTGAACACCACCGCTTACGCAGGGTAATAAGAAAAGATGAAGACTTCGACAAGCTTGTTTTGCCGGTTAAACCACTTTTTCGGCTCAGGGCGATTCAGATTTCTCATCGGAGATTTCACCAAAAATTACGTCTATTGATTTTCCAAGCAAGTCTGGGGATGTTTGTGTTGTTCTCGGAGCAGACAAGGTTGAATTCTGTGGCAACGTACTTTTGCGGCACCAAACAAAGGCACCGGGGGTCATTTTCATCATTTCACAGCCCACGCTCGGGAATTTCATCAGAAGCAGTCGGTTTGTTTTCGTTTCCTTCTTGGGAAAAAGGCGCTACCGCCTGGGATAGGTGTTGCGCCTCTCCGCTTCCAAGATGCGCCGAGAGTTTCCTCTGAGCCCCCAGCGTCCCCGCGGAAGGAGGCGATGGACCTGCTGATCAGAATCCTGTCGGCGCTGCACCTCGACTGTATTAAAGGGGTCATACCGACCGGCTCTCCGCAGAGGTGTGTGAAAACGGCCACTTGCCAACTTCTGGCCCTTCTGCTGCAGCCGCTGCTGTTTCTGCTGCTTGTACTAACAGTTCTGCCTCTTCTACTAATAACACGGAGAAAATATCGGAGAAATGGTTTATTCTGATACTTGGCCCTCGGGCTATGCTGAAGTAATACACTGGTGTTTTCTGGACCTGGCAGAGTCATATGAGTTCATACACGTGCTCATACACCAATACATATTAAAGTATATGTCTAGTACAAGTAACATGGCAAAAAAAAAGGCGATTTCCAGTTTAATCGCATTTTTTGTAGTTATGCAGAACAGGAGGAAATCGAAATCCACTTCTTAATGTCAGAAAGGTATTTATAATAGTGACATGTATTTGAACCCAGTTTAACAACTAGGGTAACTAAGATATCCGTCAACGGTCACCTCCATAATGTACTTTTAAAGTGGAAAAAGACCCAAGCAAGTTCATTTCAAAATATCTCTTTCTATATTTCTGTTGCTAAAATTCCGCCGATCAATGTGTCGTCGCAGTAGAGGAAGTTCGATTTAGAATTTGTATAGAAATCCTTCACATCTTTTCATTAGGCTGCCTTTAAAAATATATATATATTATTTTACTTTAGAGGGAATTTTTCAAGTCTCTTCCAAGTTCGTTTCTATCACACTTAATTCTCTGGTGCTAAAAACTAAAGGCTACGAGGTAACTCAAGGCTACAACTTAAGGCTAAATTGTGTTAAATCACTTTCTGTTCCTTCTATGGATAATTGATTTTCTTCGGAAATAGTATAAACATAAACGAAATGTAATTATTCTCAACGTCCTGAAGTAGATCTCAGTTTGGGCGTAGCCTCCATCCTCTGTGGACTGTGGCAGACGCCTGCTCCAGACCCGGCCAGGGTCATTAACGTTTAAATGAAGCTTTAATGGACTGTGGCCAGCACCCTAGAGTCGGCACCGCCCCTTTAGTAAATTGGGATTTTTAACGTCCCAGGTGCAAAATGCCGATTTAGAACTCTGGCCACCTACTGTCCCAGGATTCGCATCTTTGTCTCATTTCTCTGGGCTCTGGAATCCCACCTGATGATGGTGAAACAGATGTGTTAAAATCGCCATTTTCCATTTCCTCCAGAAATACCCATACACTGTAACGTTTCTTGCACATGTCAGATTCGTACAGGTGCCAACTTTCCAGACTTAAAGGAGCATCTTAAAATACTGCCATTAACAAGTCATTTGTCTGGCCACAATTATCTTCATTTATGGTAAGAAATGGTCAAGCATGGGAGCATGATAGAAATAATGTAATTTATCATATAATACATTTGTATAATACAAGTTTCTGACAGCCTTTCCTATTTCATTTAGCCTTCCACAAGGTTTAGCACTGGGTCAGCAGGCAGGTTCTGTCATTAACATTTAACACCATAAAAGAAACATTTTATCCAGATACAAACACAGACCCTTTGTTTGCAAGGGTGGGACACCAGGAATATTTTTTTAGGGTCTCAGTGCATAAGGGGGTTTCCAATCAAGGACCTGTAGGGTCAATGACTCTGGAGGGTTTCTGCAAAGTGGGGTACGTCTTGGACAAAGGGTCAGCCCATAGCAGGGCATCTACAGACATAA